TTTTAGTAGGCAAAAGCGTTGGATTTCTTTCCCGTAAAATACCGATAACTCCTGATCCAAGAAAGATGAAAACTTTTTCTTTTTACCAAAATGTAGCCCAAATGTCAGGAAGATTACACATTCATCTCTCCTCTTCAAAATTTCAATTTTCTGTGATATTTTCTCATGATTATGATGTACATTGAATGTAGATTCTACAGTAGGAAAGCGACCCTTAGTTTCTCACCCTCACTTCTCCACGTATGTTTCAATGGAGTATCTACTCATTCTCAATGATTTTCATGAATCATACAATAGTTAACCTTCATACTCTGAGTAGATAGTCTACAGACACTAAGGTATTCGATGCACATTTGAAGTCAACATGATGTTCTTCAACTTGATGTCTTCACTCAACCTAGTAGGTTGAGTTATGAATGTTTTTCGCAGAGGACCTCATATTCCAGAAGTTAGTCTCGGTGGAAAAATAGCTGTCTTTCAGTTAAGGGCTAACACTTTAATTTTATGCTGCAGCTAGACGAGAGTCGAGATTTTAGTAAAAAGAAACAATTTTCATCCTTCTTGAATCAGGAGTTATCGATAATTTACCGGAAAGAAATGCAAACACTCACGAAGGTCTCACCAATCAGTTTATAGACGAGACCTAAACTTGCTGAGTGATCAGCATCCAGTGGGAGCTATGACTACTCTAATTTAGAAGTGTCATGCTGTCATGGTTCTTCAGTTACGGGGCGTCGTTACTTTTGCGGAAAACTGTAGAAAATCAATTTCACTTTTCTCAAAAAATGGAATGTGCTTTTTATTCTATTATCCACTGAATAAACAAAAGTCTTTGAAACAAGATAATGATAGTATGTGTAATTTTGTCAGTACTGAACTGAACTGAAATTTATTTTACACAAAGGTAGAATATCACAAAAAAATACTAAAAAGACTTGTGGCATCTGGAGACACCTCATGATAACCTAGTGGCGGCGCCAAGAAGTTAAAGCAGGGGAAGGTGGTAGTTTCAAAAAATCAGAGTAAGTTCAAAGAGATTTTTTGGCAAGTTTGATAAAGTAAAAAAAATAATACAGAATTCGCCATTTTTTCATTTTGGACTTACTGTTGTATAATCAGTTATCTCCACCTTTGCCGACACACGAAGGGGAGAGACAGCATTTTTTTTATTGTTCCTTCATATAGTGTGCACAGTGGGCATTTTTTGCTAGAGCAGGCGGACTTTAGCTTTATGAGTGAACTAAAATTTCATGAACCATTTTTTTATAGGTTTTTCATGATCCTCTTTCTAATGGCATGAGAGTTGGNGGATTTTGAAAAAGTTTTCTAAGGAGTTTTCCAGAGATCCGATCTTTCGAAAACCCTTCAGAAAACTTTCTCAATATTTAAAAACGATGCCACTGGAAAGAGCATTGTCGAAAACCATTGTATGGAATACTTGGTGGTCCATTGTTATTCATTAGCCTGTTCTGTCTAATTAGTCTAATCAAATTTATGGCGAAAATAGAACCACTACACTAATTATTTTTGCGTCTTCTCAATAAATCAAGTGGACAAATCTCATAATCATATGCGATGACTACATAAAGTTTAGGCACTGTTTCACGTTAGATATATATTTAACGAAAAAAGAGATTCAATTACGTTTAAAACTACACTGATTTCATTCCTGATTATGGCAGATTCTAACTAGACTTCAACTGGACTTGATAAAAAACACTCCACGTCTGTCAACTAATACTTCAAGCAGGGACTTGGACCTGCCCATCTTTGAGAAGGAGGTATTCCACCTTGCTCTAGCTTTTCCCGATTTTGTCGTATTTTTGTAACAAAAATGGTCAGAAATTGGAGAAACTCAATGTCAAAGAAGACTCATAATAAACTTATGTAAGGTAGCTAACAGTTTTTGAGCTAGCGAGAAATATAGAGCAGACGCTGCTCTATCCAAAAGTTAAAAAATAACTTTCTCATCTCTTTTATTCCAAGAAATATTGAGCCCATAAAAACACGTTCGGCAGTGTCCAAATACTTGTTGCATCCACTGTTCTTGTTTTGTGTTCTTTGTTTTTTCGTTTGCTCGTTGAAAACGTACATTCTTTTCAGCTATATAACGGAATAAGAAACAAAAGCAAAAAGAAAAGAAAAGAAAATCGCTATTTGTCGCAGTTCTATTAGACTAAATGTCTATAAGAAGATTATAAATCAACAACAAAAAAACAAAATAATAAAGCGAACTCTTTTTGTTGTTGGCCTTGAACGCAGATGATGATGCGTTCTTTGACTTCTGCCTTGATGTGTCTTTTTCTATGACGCATCAAGTTTTTCTTTTCTTCACCTTTTATGACACTTGCAATAGGCATGATTCATGAACAAAATTCTATGGCGAATATGTCCATAAATAGAAAACATAATTTTCATGACTTTTCACTCATATCAGCTCTTGATAAAGCCATTGCTCACGTACAACTTGTACGCATCTGCTCAGAATCTGAACTTCGATAACGTGAAAAGATAGGAGTATGCTCTCTGTTCAATATGTGTTAACTCCAATAAGATTTTTATCCACAGAGGGCTTCGGAATAGGTTTCAAATCTATTTATTGAACTAACGTACAGAAAGAGGCTAACTATATGAGTACAGCTGTCTTTGTGTGATTTCTAAAAAATGCTTCCTTCTGTTGTCTAAAATGATTTAGTACCATATAGAACATGATGGATGATCCCAATCTAGTATAAAGAAAGTGAACATAGATTTATTTCTTTTATAATTTATGGATGAAGAGTCTAATAGACACTAATTGAACTAATGTTTGTAGTATAAGTGCTATTTCACATTCTAACTAAATATATACATCTTCATCAAAATATTGATGAAATCGTTTTTAGCGTTGTTCATGTGACCTTTGTTTTCTTGATCAACGTTGATTTTGATAAAAGGCGTACATAACTTGTCAAAGTGGCTGGTTATGTGTTCGGTTGTTTTGGATTGAAGCAAGATCTATACTCTTGTAAAAAATTACTTTGAAAGACGATATGGCACGGATTTTTACTATTTTAAAAGTAATACTGAGGTAGACATTGAACTGAGTAAAACCTTCAATATTCGATATTGAAAGAAATAACCCACTCACATTAGTTTGGATATATATGAACTCGTACTGTAATCATTCTATGAATAATATGATTTGATAACACAATCTATTGCTTGTTTATTAGCAGAACTTCGTATGGGCCTAAGTCAGCGAATTCAATACTTGTTGTACTATTTTCATTAAAAGATAAAAAACTATGTATGGTTTCTTGTTCAATGTATCAGTCGTTAGTAGCCCATAGCTAAGTCTTACGTATATTGTTTCACTTATTAGTTACTGCATGATAAGTTCTGGACTTAAATGGTTTTTCATAGGTCACAAATATGAGAGACCCAAAATCCTCACATTCTTTGTATTGTGTTCTACAGTATTCAAGGACAGAAAAACAAAAAATGACAAAATATTTTTTTCTCTTTTTCTCGTTCTTCCTGTTATCTATTTATTTATATGCACTTAGATTTATATCTGCATTCAAGGACATAAACTTTATCATTTGTTTTTCAGAATAGCCACAAAAAATGACATGGCAGTTGATGGAATAAAATGATGACACTACTTACGTCGGGACCGACAAATCACACTTAGTATACAGAGTGATACTTACTTGGGAACCAAAAGTGAACAAATATACAATATCTATAAGGAACAGGACACTTTTGTTTTCCACACACTTAATGGTTCATAAACAAACAAGCAAAAAAGATAGCACTGATTCCAACGATTATATTTATAAGATTAAAGTTTACGTGATAAACTCGTTAAACTAATGCTGTGGTGCAATACTATACTTAGTGTAGAATCTGTTATGGAACAAGGAATAAACTTTAGATATCTAATTGAGAAACTTCATAATATAGACAGCAAGGGTGTGACAGATAGAAAACAGTTTTATTTAAGGATAGTCTCTCAGTTACTCCTTTCAAATCTACGTGTTCATAAATAACTTTAGATTTTTAATTTAAACACTAAAGTAGTCAAAAGAAAAAATTAATGAAAAAGAGAAGGTGTGTATAGATGAAAAAAGTTAACTAAGTCTATGTCATCGTTGTTAACAGATTTCTGGGAGTTACTTTTATTTCTAGCCTCCAAGTACTTTTTTTTTACTTAGTGTGTGATTTCGTTTATTCGTTAACCTTTTTTCTTTTCACACAAGAAAACAGTATTATAGTTGTTGTTGTTTCTTTGTTTTTGTTCGGCTATACAAAGAACCATAAAGGAAGAAAACAAAAAATGGAAAAAAAAATGCGACATAAAAACACAAAAACAGTTTTTTAAAACTAAACAGAAAAACATCTACAGAAGTATGACATCATACGAATAAAAGGTTTTCTTCATAATATACAACAAAAATCCGATAATGGTGTATTTCTTTTAGAAATAGCGAAAAATAAAAAGCACGAACGAGAGAAAGAGTGAGAAAGAAAGTAGAAATGTATCGAGCGAAACAAAAATACCCTATTGATGGACACAAACACACACAAACAAAACAAAATAAGAAAAACTGTTGCTGAAAAATCTTATGGCACTAAAGCGAATCTGTTCATAAATGTTCCTTATTCTGTCACATCAGCCAAATGTCTACTAGGTTTTTACATGCTCTTTAATAAGCATTGTGTATGTACTCACATAAGAAGATAAGATGTTTTATTTTCTTTTTTTTAGAGTCGTCGTAATATGTTTTGACTTTAAACTTTGTTTCAAAAAAGGTCGAAAGATAATTTATACAGAAATGTTTTAAGGTTCAACAGGATACCATGAAAAACCCAAAAATCACAAGAAAAATAAAATCATAAAACAACATTTAAAAAGATGAAGAAGAAGAAAGATCAGACTTAATTTAAGCAGGTGACTTTTATCACTGTTTCTGTAGTATGAGTACGTTGTTAAGATGACAAGTATTTTATATGATTTAATCTGTTATTGATGATGATGTAGATGAAACGGGTGATAAAGCTAGAAACCGATGTACTTCTCGTTGTAAATGATTTTGAATAGTACTTGTCATATGCATACTACTAGAACAAAATAATTTTTCAAAAATTTCTTCTTTTACTTGATAGATGTTACACAGGAAAAAGACCATTTTTGAATATTTTGATTTTGACGTTGACCAATTTGTTAAACGTGATTGTGCATTACTTTCGGCTCGATCAAAAGATAAAGTTGATGCAAAGAGAGTTTTTCCTAAAAGAATAAAATTTATAATATAGATAAAGCGTACAATGGTTTTCAAGTACACGATATAAAATATTCACGTAGTATTCAGGTACTCAATGTATGCGAAAAAAAGAAACAAAATTGAAATCTTAGTCAAGCAAAGTTTTTTTAACCATCAAATTTTGTACAGATATTTCTTTATATCGATCCGGTATCTTTGATATTTCGAATATACAGAAAAATAAAAGCTCGTTGCAAAGTCTTCAATTACATTCTAAGCTTTTAAAGATTCAACTCTGCCAGTAGACGGAAAAGTACTATACCTTCTTTGTAGATCACCACTTCACGTATTAAATTGAATCCAACATCATCAATTTGAATTGCTTTTCCGCGAGATATCAACGATTCAATTTGTTTAACATCATTTTCTGTTGGATAATTTGTATTATTTGTTGATGGACTTGTACAACGTTTAGTTGTACAATCATTGTTGTTGTTACTATTATTTATTTGTAAATCTTTTGTTACATATATTTCAAAACAATTTTCAACCATACTAATTAACAATAATCGATGCCATGAACCTAAAATAGGTGAAATGATATTAGATTAATAATAAATATTAGACTAATGATTAAGAGATTTGACATACGTGAAAGCAATAATAATTTTTCATCTGTACTAGTTGATTCTTTAACAACATCAAGATTTAATACAAAATGTACACTTTTTTCTAACCAATCGTTTACACGTGCTGCCACAACAGGCATCAACTTTTTCGGTATACAAACGTATTCATTTTGAGATTGTCCGCCGTTTGTAGTAGTAGTGTTAGAATTTCGATATTTGCCTTTTGTTGTGATTGTATCGTCTCTCATTGAAGGTTGATTTTCATTACTCATCTCATCATTACTTGACGACGGTGACGATGGAATTGAATTTGGAGATGAAGAAAAACGAAAACCAGATGTTGCTGTTATTTTATGTTGATCAACGTGCGACGTATAAGATGAAGGACCTGGATGAGTAAATAATGATCTTTATGTTAATAGTGCCTTAGAGTGAAGAAAGTGTACTTACTTGGCACTGTTCGACCGCCATTTGCATGTTTTCTTAGATCAATTGGCACAGGTTTTGCCAGCTGATGAGTACTACCATTTAATGGTAGATGAAAATGAGATGATGATTGAGCAAGTAATCGGCTGCTTTCCAATAATGTCTGATATGTTTCACGACGATAGGGTTGTTGTTCTGGAATCTCTTTTTTATTTGATGATGGTAATATGGATGTTGTATTTGTACAATAATTTGTTGTGCTATTCATTTTTTGATTACTTGAATTAAAAAATTGAGCAAAAGTTGTTGGCATGGAATTGAAACGTACAGGTATATCGTGAGCTGACTCTACCATTTTATCATGGGAACCATTTTCATTCATAGTATTTGAGCGTGGTATTTGTGGACTTTTTCCTCGTCGTCGACTATTCTCAGCATTTAGTTCACGTTCTAAATTTAGTTGACGTAGTTTTGTAATCGAATCACCAACAGTTGACGTTGTTGTAGGTGATAAACCACCACTATTTGTACTTGATGATCGACTTGCTGATGAACCATTGTTCAGACGAGATGCGTTAGGATTGTACGAGGATGGATTTGATTGAAAATGATTTCCATCTGACGGCAACATTGAAAGTGGCAAATAACCGGCGGCACAAGCAGCAGCTGCAGCCGAATGCAATAGCGCTGGCGGATAGTTTACGCGAAATTGTTGCGATAGTGCGTGTAAGAACGAAGCATATTGAGCGTAACCCAAGACAGCTGCTGTTTGTTCTTGTGTTGTCGGAATGGTGATCTGTGATGGCATTGTTATTGTTGTTGATGGTGTGCTTGTGGCAGAAGTGTATGAAAATCCAGATGTAGTTGTAGCTTCTGTAGACATTTTTTTGTCGTGCTTTTCTTCGGAAATATTAGCTAAATTTTTACGTTTTCTACTGCCGACATTTGTTGATTGTTGAGAATTGCTTAGTTGATTGTAAATAATCGTATTATTATTATTGTTATTATTATTATTATTATTATTATTATTATTATTATTATTGTTATTATGTACATGGCAATTATCTGACGATGGTGAGGAAGAACTGACGCCCGAATCACTAGCACATGATTTAACCGATGATGAACGTGCTATTTTTGGTGTATCGGGTGACGATGATGTCGAAGAAATAGTCATTTCGCTGCTATTTTTAATGTTATTATTTGATGTATTCGAGTGACTAGACAGCGTCGATAGTTGTAGTGACGGACAAGATGCAGAACCTGTCGATTCATGCCGTATATAAGTGTTTGATGATGACAAGGACGAGGGTGTTGTCATTGGATAAGATTTACAACGAGGTGGTTCACCCTGTTTAATAAGTGGTTTTGGTGATAATGATGGTGATGATGGCATTGAACTAAAACATTTCATATCAACATCTTGATTATTTACTGTTAACGTATCGTCAGTATTCGTTGTACTTGTCGATGTAGGCGAACTAAGATCCATTGAATTTGTGCTATTTATGTGAATCATCGTTGGTGATTGTAATTTGACATTTTTAGGTGATGATTGCCCATTCAAGAAACTAGTGGATGATGTTAAAGTGGCAGTAGATGATGATGATGATGAATTCGAATCGGAGCTTGGATGTTTTCGTTCGATCGCTAACGGTGCTAAAATATGTTGCTCTTGTCCGTTAGTACCATTCGTCCAATGATTATTTGTTGCTTTCTTTTGTGTTGAACATTCGGTACTATTTCCTTTACTTATATTATTCGCATACGATATCGATGGTGGCATCTTTGATTTGAGTAATTGATTTAAAACCGCATTTTCATTACTAGACGATACATTGTCTTTACCTACAAAAATGAAAAAAAAGAAATTTTATCAAATGTCTTCCATTTATATAGTTAGTCTTGGTAGCAGCGTTTTACCATTATGATATCCTTCATTTAATTGTAATTGTTTTCGCGTTTCTCTAACACCTTTAAAAAATGTAATATGATCCATCATAACTGTTTCGGGAATCATTGACGGCGTGGTGGTCAAATAATCCACGGAAAAGCGTGACCTTACTGGTCTAGAAAAATAAGAAACATAATTATATACTTAAAATAAAATTGAATTATATCAGTAAAGTAACTGCTATTGAATTACACGTTACTAAAGAAAGTTAATATCAAATACTCGCAATATCAACGATCCGAGCACCCGACGATTAGAACGAATTTTTTATATAACCTATTTATCGAGATTATTATATACATGATTTGTGATGTTTTAATTTCTGTCTAGCCAGAGAGAGCAAAAAAAAGAACGAAAAAGAGCTCAGACTATATTTATGTTCAAAATCAATACAATAACGAGAAAGAGAGAGAGAAAAAGGGACAGAGGGAAAAGAGAGAAGGTAAAATGAACGCTGAAAAATAATGATTTTGTAGGCGGTGGTATATAGAAGAGAATTGAAATCAGATAACGACAAATAAAAAGTAAAAAACAAGAAGACCAGATGATTTCATATGTTTTTCCTCAAACTTTAGTTCTTTTGCTAACTATAATGGAATGAGCTTGTCGTTTTCCCAAGGAAAACAGAGTAGAGTATGTTTGATTACTATGGTAAAATAGTTTAATGGCTACGCAAGCAAGCAGAGAATGTTCTTGTTACGTGACAAGACTGCTGAATAGAATTTTTGTATAGTGTGCATAGATTGGTCGAAAAAGCTTCTACTTTCTCGCATAGTTGTTACGTTAGAAAACGCAATTGGTTGGATTGAAGTTTTAGAGAAATTCAGAATTAAATTAAGATTTTTGAATCTTTCCTTTCTGTTTAAGTTCTTCTTGATACATAGCACGAAACTTTCATCCAATCAATTGCGTTTTCTAATGTAGCAGATATGTATGCAAGAAAGTAGAGACTATTTTTTACTACGTGTCCAACCTATACATTTTCTTCTCTACAATTTAGTGCTTTTTGCCTTTTAAAAATATAATACATTTTAGCTCAGCAATGTTTTCAAAAAAAGTCGTTTGGTATAGGCCTATATAAAACTTAGAAACGTTTCCTAATTTGTCAGATATTATTCGCTTATCATTCTAATTTTCAATTATGTTTAACTTTACTTACATCCTCGTACTTTCATTGATAAATCGTAAATCCACATTCTATAATTGGCGTTTGAATGTATGAAAACAAGTTGAGTAAAAAGTCTCAAGAAAAGCAATACAAAATTTGTCACTTTAGTAGAGACAAAAAAATTCAACCTTGTCCGTAAAATTATGTTTTTAAACCTAAAACTTGGACATATTCTTTATGTACGCATATACATATACATAATATACTTTGCTTTGTTCGTTTATCTCTCTCTTTTTCTCTCAATATACAATCATCTAATTTCTTTTCTTAGATGTTTTTCTTTTTTTCATTTAAAAAAAAGAAGAAATATATATAGATGGATACGTATAATAAGGTAGACTGATCGCCCCTGTTGGCTTAGTAATAGAATGGTAAAGATCGTGTTTTCAAAAATAAAAAAGAAAGTCCGCTTACTCTAAATAGTTTTGGAAAATGGTGCGTGTAACGTTTCTTTCTCTCTATCTACGTATTTACATTTTCAAATCTTTTTTTCGAGATTTTTTTTTGTTCTGTTTTCCTTTCTTCTATTTTTCAAGGACACGTATTGATATTAACCTTGAACTATATGTCATATACAGACAGTAGTGTTGTGTGCATCAATATATTTTCGTTTTTTATATATATATTTACTATTATTTTTTCCTCTTCCTTGACATTGTGCAGAGAGAAATATTTATGTTTTCTTACTCATTCGCAGATAAAATTAAAAAAACAGTAGAAAATAAGATAACAAATGATAATTTGAGTAAGAGAGAGAAAGACGACTATACAAGTTCGTAACAAGTGAGAAAAAACTTATTATTTCAAGGTAATGCGAGGTTATGTGTAATGATTATTGGAATGTCTCACTCAGCTTAAAAGTCATAATGATTAGCATCAATCTATTCTTAAAAAGACATAACACGACGTGACATATTACACTATACGAGAAAAAACAAGAAACCAGAAAAATAACCGGTAAAATAACGACTGACTAGAGACAAAATGTACTCAAACAATACATTAAAGATTCGGAGATAAATTCACATTTGGATATCCAAAATGTTCAAGAACGTACTCTCTGTGCTGTAAATGAATATTACAATGTGGAAGAGAAATAACATATTTTCACTTTCATCATACACACATAATTAAATCACATAGTAGATCTAGTTTTCGCTGTATTTATTACTCATACGGTATGATAAAACAGTTTTTAGGCGTTTCATCGCACTTTAAAACATTCTCTGGTAGAAAATAGGATCCGAATTTGATAATTTTCTCTGCTTTTTGACTATAAGGTATATTTATAGTAATTGAGAGTAATTTAAAAAAGGAGATTTTTTTATGCGTTCTGCTGTAATCTCTCTCTCTCTTTCTTCTTTATTCATCTGATTACACATAATGACTATTTTCTTGTTTTGATGTTTTTTGTATTCTGTTTTTGAAACATGTGTCTCTCTTAAGTATGCTCGTAGATCGTATAGACTAGTTTCTTTCTCTTTCTATTTTTTCAAAAAATTGAGGAAAAAACCAGAATAACATCAAAACAATAAATTTCCTTTTTTTGTTTTTTCCTTTTTTTCTAATACAGGTCACCGTGCATGTAGATGTCGAAATACGGCACTCTTATTTGTTCTCGAAAGCGCCTGTTATTCTTGTGCCTGATGACATCTGCAGATTGAAATGAGAATCAGTTATCTCAAGTAGTTTAGATGATAAAGCATGAACTTCAGGGTAAGAATAGTAAAACAAATAACAACGATTTGAAAAGGAATTCAACTGCAGTATTTCCAGACAGTATTTTCAAAAATTACGATTCGACAAAGCGCACAATTTATTTCCTGTACGAGCATGATCTTTCTCACGAAATAAAATATTTTCATAATTGTTAAGATTCCAGTCTGATATAGTTTTCTGTCCAATTAATGATACATTCTAGCCTATTACCTGCATACATACACATAAATTAGATAACCATATTGTCAAGAATAAAGATAGATGTCTAGATATGAATGTTATAAGACTTTAATATAAAACTTGAATTACACTATTTTTCAAATATAAGGAGCGTCACCTTCACATAACAACGGAAAATTTATGTATACGTAGTAGATAGTATGGTTGTGCGTCTCAAAAAAAAGTTGAATAATGGATGTTCACATTTTTTTTTCTTCTATTCACTTTAAATGGATGAACCATCAACACCATTGCATACATGTATCTATATATTGATATATCGAGAAAAAAAATGAAGGTATTAAGAATATTCAAAAAAAAAAATTTTAAGGCTCTCACTCGCTGTACTCGGTCAAGGAGAACCAATGAACAAAAAATTAAAGTATATACGTGAGAGTACATACATGTCCATTGATGTTAAATGAAAAAATTTGTATACGAGCATTTCTTTTTTTGTGCTTGCCATCTCAATGTCAATGTCAAACGTCAATGAGAGAAAAAGCGAAATGATGAGCCAGTTCTTTATTCCTCAATAACTATCGACTGCTCAATGACTATTTTACGTAAAAATTAAAAACTTTTTAAAAAAACTGAAGAAAAACTCAAAACAAATTCCTATTTCTTGTACAGAGTATTAAGAAACTGAGTATACACCTTTTGAATAGTTTAAATTACCAAGGATGATATACCAGTGAGAGTGTTGGGCAATAGTTTAGAAGAAAAAAAACTACCAAACTCTCTTAGTAATAATATTAGAAAAACTTCTCAATAACTTTGTACTTCAATTCTTGCCTTTAAAATCCTCACTCATAATTTGCATACTTTATTTCTACTTGAAAAGACCAATGATGTTCCAACGATCTTCATCCATTTAACGATGAATTTTAAAATAAAATTCAAAATTCAAAATATAAAAAAAACTGCTTTCAAATGTTTATACTTTAGTTTTGCTTAGGATGTACATTGAACAAAATATCATGTATCATGGTAAGAAGTTGACCAATTATCAATCATGACCGATGAAAAATAACAATTCAAGTCTCAAAAATGATGAACTTAAAACGAAATCAAAAGTATGTCTGTTTCTCCCTGCATAGTTATATTTCGAGTGACCTTCGAATGAAATTTTTAAATCAAAACTGATGTTAGTGTCCTTGATATACTAGAGATTAGCGTAGAAAAACCCGAAAAAGCCTACCTATCCATGTATATATATATAAATCATAATCGACGCCATGTAACCATTTGTTGTAACGTAATATTAAGTTGCATATTGTTCTAGCTATAGACTCTCGCTATGTCTACCATAGATCTTTTCTTATTCTCTCACATATTCCGTTGAAAAGAGAACAAAGAGAAAATGGTCGATATACATTCATTTTTTTTCTTTCTTCTTCGAAGTCTAATACAGTGACGCGCTGAAAAAAGGTTCAAGGAAAATGACCACCAACATTTTCATTGTACGATTTCTTTCTCTCTCTATAAATACACTCATCAATATGTCTCTACATCTAGTACGAAGACATTGCGTAAGATTGAATTGTCCGAATGTATATATGTTTTGTTTGTTGTCCATAAATAGAACAGTAAAGAAGAAGAAAAAAACACGAAGAGATTGTTACGGAAATGTCTAGTTATTTCGTGAACATAATATACTACATACACATACATATTGAATCTATAGATATAAGATATATGTAACAACTACGACATATTGTGACGTAATATAATAATAGTGAAATGAACTATGATGACCCATTGTTTCTTTTTTTTTCTTCGTTTTGTTGATAAATGAATGCACTTGAGCTATATAGTCTTGAGATATCGCATTATAGCTACCCTAACAGAGAGAAAGAGGTGAGAATTCGCTCTTGATCATTCATTGTATTCAACGAAATTTATCTATGATGAGGTTATAGTACCGTACCAATCAGCAAAAACCGGATGGTATGTTGGTTGT